GAAATTCCAATCACCCGAAGGCCGGCGTAGACAGAGACAGAGAGAGACAGAGAGAGAGAGAGAGAGATGTGCAAATATCTAAGAAGCAATGAATGAAGAGGGAATATGGCACGGTATATAGCAACAGAATTAAAATTATCAAACAGAACTTTTAGCGTATCTTGAAGCAACAGAAATTTGACTCTACAGAAGGATGCTGAAAAGAGCGTGGATGGAGCGCTTGATCAATAAATATCTTTGAAGAAAAACAGAATTGAAAAGTAATCACTCTCAGAAAGAAACAGCTGTAATTTTTTGGACACATAATGAAGAATGAAAACTTACAGAATTCGTCACGCTTAGGATATAGAAAAAATAAGCCAGATGAAGACAGCGGTTCAACTACACGATGAGCAAATTTAAATTAGCCGAAGAATTGTGAAATGGACGTTAAAAAGACAAAAATAATTAAGAGCTACAAGGAATATAGAATAATGGAGTGTCCTCATCGTCCACATCCTGAAATGACCCAGACACATAGAAAAAATGAGAGATATATCCTCATACGAATTGTTATCATGACAGTTGTATTGAGTTTCGTTGATTTTTACCCCGTGTCACTTTATTAGCCTGTTGGACCCTCATTTAATAATAATAATAATAATAATAATAATAATAATACTTTGGCATATAGCAGATGTCGATTTGCTGAAGACCACAAGGGATTTCTGAAAGAAACTGATTAGAAGAAGGTGGATTTTGACTTTGTCATTGATCTGAAAATTATGAAAATATAAACCTGCCATTTGAGCGAGTTATTATCGAAACACTTGGAAAAATCTCGAAGAGGCAAGAAAAAAGTATGTAGGAACTGGAAATTAGATCAAATATCAAAACTAAACAACGACGACATTAATGGAAACTAATAGATATTTTATAATGCTGGAATGTACAGCAATAATAATACCTATTTTAATAATAATAATAATTTAATTTATTTGTTCTCCTTTAAAATAATAATAATAATAAAAATAATAATAATAAAAAATACAATTTTGATATTCTTTCAGTCCAAAATGCAGATTCTGCCAATAAATGATAAATATCCATGACAAAACGACTATTGATCATCTTAGTAGCAGGTTGTACGGTGTTGGCACCCACTGAATATAAAACCCGCAAAAACATGACAGAGAGTGGAAGGGCCAATTAAAAAACTGGAAAATCTACAACTTCTAAGGGAAGAAAAACTGAAAGAAACTGGTATGAACATCAACCAGACCCGGTTACGGAGATGGGACCTGTTACAATTCTATGGGGACTACACAATACACACTGACAGAACAATCAAGGCCAACCGCCCAGATATTGTTATTAAAGACCATAAACAAAAACGGTGCCTCCTTATTGATATGGCAGTCTTCAGGGAGGAACCCTGCCGACTGCAATGTATCGTTGAAGATATTCAAAAAGTTGTCAAAAGTACAAGGACCTTGAAATAGAAATCGCGAAAATGTGGCATAGAAGGGGGAACATCAACAATCCCTGTTGTAAAAAGTTGGAGCCCTAGGACTGGTTGGAAAAAGATTCCAGTAGACTAATTGAAGGGATACCTGGAAGTCCATGCCTCAAGGAGATACAGAAAATTGTTCTGACAAGTACAATGTACAACCCCACACCTTACGAAGGGCTTTATCTATGTTTTTTTTTTTTTTTTTTTTGTCAGTGGAAAGTGTCATGACGCCATTTCTAACCTTAGGTCCCTGGGCGGGACCGGGAAAGAAATGTGTAAACGCCAGAAATAAAAGAAAATAATAATAATAATAATATACAGGAAACATAATTCCTAATAATCTCTCGTGCAAGCCACGACATACTGTGGGTGTGAAGATTCAATAAGAAAATTATGGCAATAATTTTGCTTTGGCAAAAATGTAAATAATAATAAAAGAAGTGTTCTTTAATAGATATTTCTTCCCCAGAAAAAAAATATATATTAAAATTCATTCAAATATTTAAATATTGAACTTTTAATCTCAAGTGCGTTGTGTAATGGACAATAGAAACTAATTACAAAAGCTGCAACATGCTTTTACACAGAATATAATTATAAGATACGTCAGATGGGAAGGCAACATTCGTGTCACAGAAAATAATGGCTTCGGACGTGACTTCGAAGCTAATTATTTATACAGAAATCACAAAGTTTACCGACGAAAGTACTGGCCATCTAAAAACATGTTCCGCTGGAATACTAGAAAAAGACAATTAAAAAAAAAGAATTATGAGTATTTTTTAAATGTTAAAAAATATGACAACGTAAGAATGCATATAAAGTTAAACATATATAAATTAAATGTCACGATAGCGACTGTCGTAAAAATAACGGTGTCATAATTCTACAAGAATCACGGTAGTATGAAGCATAAATCTAGAGAGACGATAGTAAAAGTCATGTTAAATCTAAAGATACGAGATAAAACTAGAGACGCGATAATAACACTAGAGACACGATAGTAAGAGTCATGATAAAACTAGAGAGACGATAGTAAGTTATGATAAAACTAGAGATAAGATAGTAATAGTCATGATAAAACTAAAGAGACGAATGTAAGAGTCACGATAAAATTAGAGACACGATAGCAAGACTCATGATAAAACTAAATGCGAGAGTAAGAGTCGTGATAAAACTAGAGACACGATAGTAAGTCATGATAAAACTAGAGAGACGACGGTAAGTCATGATAAAATAAAAGATAAGACAGTAATAGTAATGATAAAAATAGATGTACAATACTAATAGTTATGTTAAATCTAGAGGGAGGATAAATTAACGATAAAACGAGAGACATAATAGTAAGACTCATAATAAAACTAGAGTTATAATTGTAAGTGTCATTCTGCTAGGATAATAAAATTCATGGCAAGAGTTTAATGGTAGTTACAGTATCATATTGGAATAAAAATACTACAAAATACTAGACACATTATATTAACATTCCTAGATAGAAGTTTTCATGCTAATAATAACGTTATAATAAAACTGGAATTATGATCGTAAACAAAAAAAAGATATTTCAAACTTGATAATGATGGATTCATAAAGAGTCATGATGATAATGGGGACACCGCAGTAAGAGACATACCAATGTATGATAATACAAATATAACAATGATAGGACTTATGATAATACTAGTGACAATCATGGTAATACAGTAGCCATGATGAGTTGTAATCCGGATCACAATAACAATAATATCATTGTAGTCTTGTTAGTAAAAGTTATTTTAATACTGAGACACAATAGCCGAACTCGTTATAATACAAACAATAAATATGATAATTCTATAATCACGGCACTAAAAAACATTATAATACTGTCATCACGATAGATATTATAATACTGGTTTATTTATAGTAGTATCCCCGTTAATTCTCTAATTATTTTAATTAATGCCATTGATAATATTTAAAATGTGATTGTAAGTGAGAGGAGATTACTGATGTAATTTTTTTCAAAATCTTGGAATTTTATTTGGGATTTTATCAAAATTTTGCTTATCGTATGATTTCGTCAAATTTCGAAATTTCATGGCCAACACATTCTGCTGTTCTGACGGCACACTATTGTTTTCTTTGGGAATATGTTAAGAAGGATGTCTGATTCAATAAACCTTAGGCAATTCAGGAAATCAAAAATAACATATATATATAGAAATTTGTGGGTTGCAGCCTGAGTTGTTAAACACTATTATGCAGTATGTTTGTAAATAACTTTATATAACAAAAATAACAGAACATGGAAAGAGTCTAGGATAACAGACGCATAAATAATAAAAGCGGCTGGCAGAGGATAGCAAAAAAAATATATTTATAGTTACTTTGTTCAAACTTTTTATTCAATAAATTAAAGAATCATCCCAACTTCCTTTTGGGTATAATTCCATTACTTAGAGGAAACGAAATACAAGCACTATTCAGGAGTTTTAAATCTTGTATTTCAGAAAGAAGAACTACTGATTTTTAGGTGAACATTTTAAAAGAGATTCTGTCTGTTTGCCATTATGAACATTTGAACTTACAAAGTCATCAAAAACAAATGCTTGAATTAACACTCAGTATCGGTCTTCTATTGTTTATGTGTCTAATATAAAAAATAAAAAAAAAAAACCTTATTCATGTTAAGAATGATGTCATGAATCTTCTAAGCGGGTTGATCACATCAGATATTTAATAGTAAACTTTTCATTTATACTGGAGCAAATGTAATGAAAAAAATTGTGTCAGTTGTCTTCTTCATATGTGGAAGAATTGTCTAACATTCACTGCCATAGAGAAGGAATTATAATACATAACGGCTCAGTACAATTTTCTTTGTTTTTAAAGAAATTTTCCGTTTCTTAAAGATTATATTAGATTTTGTATGGCAAATTCAAATATCCTTTCGGATTTTAGTGTCACATATTCCGTCATCACTTAAAATATTTCCAGAATACTGAAATTCTCGTACTTTCATTTCGACATCTCAAATTCGTATTTCGCATATTGGCCTGTTACCTTCTCTAAAAACTATATTTATGTCTTTTTAAAATTGATGTATAATTATTTCTCTTGATTTTCCATTGGAACCTTCTAGTGTTCCTTCAGTTTCCTTTCTGTATTTTGCTATTAACCTGTGTCATCTCCATATCCTATGTTTTTAAGAGTGTGTCCACCCGAAGACTTCTTCGATTTCTATCAAGAGATTAATTCATTGATACATTTTCTACGGAATGTCAATTCTTTTCGGGTTATTTAAAGCCAAGCAATTTTCTTTAATAATAAGATTTTGTTTTGGGGGAAGGAGCTTATAAGGGTTTAGTGATACAAGTTTATCAGATTAACCCATAGCTGGGGGATTTATGCCTTTCACAAGGGTATTTACGCATATATACATATAACGAAAACAACTGGAATTGGAACCCGAATAACCAGTTAACAATCCAGAGCCATTTTTCTTTACACCACCCGCATATCCAACCTTACAGCATCTGGTATTTCTAAGCGTTAACCCATCTAAATAATGACGAGGCTTGAGGTTGCTTAACTTCAGTGATCGTACGGGAACTGGTGTTACAACGCGATGTGTCCGTAAGCACCATCAAGAGAAGACGTCAGTAGCTAGATTTATTCGAGGAAAATACGATCTATTAGCCCAAGATCTACAGACAGAAATAGCTGTAATATCTTGGGTAGGTAATAAAGAAAGAGCGATTTAAATGATTTAACCCCAAGCTTGGTGATAGGCCCACTAAGATGCAATGGTTTACTTAGAATGAAAGGCAATCGATTGAAGCAAACTGAAAACCCTTCAGAGGAGAAAGGACAAGACTCATAGAGAGGAGAGAGACGGTGACTGTTGGCGTTGCATTTGAATTATCGTTGACAGGAAAAGAAAGAGAGCTCAAAGAGATTTTCAAGGCAGAGAAGCCTGAAATAGGAAATTATTAGAAGAGAATCTATGCTTATATTTAGCGATTTCAATAGTAAAACGACATTTCCATCAGTCTCGTATTACGCTTAAATTCATGTAGTCATGGTACCGAAAAGAAAATCTATTCAGAAAAATTGCCATGAAAACCATTACAGAAATGACACCCGGAAGAATCTTTATTGCGTCGGGAAAGTGACTGAAGCCGAGATACCACGTCGGGATCCATAATATTGCACATTCTTCCTTGAATTTTATCAAGAAACTTTAGATACATGCTAGGAGAATCTAACACTCACAGGTCATATCACCTCTCTCTGTCTTTTTTACAAATACTGTCATGGTAACTGCTCCGATGAGCTGCTTTCACTGGTTCCCAGACTTCATGAATTCAAGCGCCCTACGAGGCTGGCATCCCGCTCTCACCCTTTCACTGTAGAAACTTTTAAATGTAGCCATTCTTTTTTACTTCAATAGCTTCACACCTCGCACCTCTCGCCTGTGGAACACCCTTCCCTATTACTGTTTCCCTGAGAGCTATAATCTTCAACCATTCAAATGTAATGTCAATCGACATCTCCAGTTACCTTGATCTATCCACTATCCCTCTCCTCATCCTTTCTTCTATCAATCCTATCTGCTCTCGCTCCAAATCTTCTGTAACCCCTTGCGTGCTAGTGGCTTCACGCCTTGCTCGGGGCGTAATGCTTAATAAAAAAAAAAATTAAAAAAAATTCACCTAACATTAATTACCCTACTTGAACTGTTTGACAATTGATAGCTCAACAAGGTTAAATAGGCAGGATAAAATGGAATGATTACTTGGAAGAACAAACAATAAAAACGAAATCGTGAAGAACGATCCCTTATGACACGAAAGATCATTTATAAAAAAAGTGTCTAAATTAAAAAAAAAACAAAAAAACATCCAATCGAAAGAAGAAACCTCGATCTATTAATGGCGCACAAAAAAAAATCATGATAGTTTTGTTTGATTTGGATTCTTTTGTTTTCCAGCATAAACACTTTCTACGCTATTTAATAAGGGGTTCTGTCATTTCGATAACAAATTGATGCGTACTGATAGTTATTTTTTAAACGAGAGTAAAACAATTTTAACATAGGTCCGGTTTGCATAAGAGAGCAGACATTTGACATTGATCCAGTATTCATGAGCGTCAAAAAGCTAGACAACGTTCCTCTGTTCAGCAATACATAATAATTATACGTAAATCTATTTTTACATAGAATGCATATAGGCAAATTTAGGTTGGAACTATACGAGACTTAACAAGTTATACATCGGTATGTATGGCAGTCAAACAAAAGTAGACGTACTTATGGAAAACAGTGGGACCTCTTTATTCCTGGTTTTACTTTTCTGAACGGAGGCGAATCTGCGTATTCTTTAACCCTAAACAACTGGGCAAGGAATGTATCGAGAAGCCGAATCGGTCTGTTACGCCTTGCGTTTTCTGATCTTTAGAAGTAGTTCGATATGGCAAGAAAACTGGAAACCATTTAATATCCTATGCAGGTGATAAATGAAAACATCACGATCCCATTGATAGACCAACTGTTTCGTCAGGTTGGGCATTTCCCTGCAGAATAACAACCTTAAGCAAACGATTTACTTTCCGTTAATAGCATCTCTGCAGGAGGAATTTCATCAGTATTTCGATATATCTATGTTGCTTTGGGTCGACTGGCAAAAATTATTTTCTACCAACCGAACGTACAAAATTCCACACAAATTTCCCTCAAATAGTGATGAGAGTCTTGGATTACGAAGGAGACTTAATGTCCTTTATAATTCACTGAAAACCCCAAGGAAATCCGTCCAAAACACTTCGTATAAAAAATATAACAATATTAATTCACGGGGACACAAAGCCAACTCTGTGAGAGCTAATGAAAATGAATCGGAACTATGGAAACTTCCCGGTCCAAAATAATCCGTCACTTACACGCTTGGGTGATCATGAATCTTTCGATACATGACTGATTAAACAAGATTTTTCCCGCAGTAGGTTGCCGATACATTCTGCGGTAGACTGGCTGCAAACAAAGAATATAGGAACTAATCTGTCCTGCTGGGAGAAGAGATGGTTTCATATCATTCCCAAAGGTATTTGCGCGTAAGTAAATTTAATGAACACGACTGGAATTCAAACTCAGCTCTCCTATTCTTAACCAATATCCATTACACCACAATGCACAGAGCGGTCGAAATAAGGCAGAATAATAAAAGCAATAAGCTGGATAATTTGCTGGAAATAGTACTTCTAATGGAAGTAACAGTCTCTTTTTATGCAAGTATTTTAGACATATTGTTCAATAAATGAAGTAAATACAATAATCTTGTATTTGATTTTCTAATATGGCGCGTAAAAAGCCCATCAATTCCAATAGGTATTAGTCCACAAGAAGTAATAACAAACATATGGAAACAAGCGTTTCACTGCTATCCGGTAAACAGAGTCTTAATTAAATATAAAATATTACACTAAGTAATTTCTAAATCCTCAGAAAAAAAAAAGATTATCAATGTAGCAGGTTATGAGACTTTACTAATGAGATTTGCATATACATTCTCATATATTCATAAAGTATACACATTCTTATATAATTTCTTCTTCAAAGGTTTATTTTATTTTATTTTATTGAATTTTACACCTGTGATACAATTCTAGTCTTTGATTCTACTTGATTACATACTTTAACTGTATTAATTTTATCTTCACAAGACTCTCATATACAGACGATTTTATACAATTCGAACAATGATGCTGGAGATGTCTGGAACATATTCAAACAATTGTACCCACATTCGTGAAATGTTCACATGCAGTATAAAACGTTTTCAACATCAAACTTGGAGACAGCTCGTAAAACAATCCGACAACCTCGATGCAACAGAATAATAATAATAATAATAATAACAATAATAATAATAATAATAATAATAAGAAGAAGAAGAAGAAGAATAATAATAATAATAATAATAATAATAATAATAATAATAATAATAATAATAATAAGGTGCACTTGGAATTATAAAAAATGGAACAAAACAACACATTGAAAGAATCCCTGGAAACCCCAGCTTAAGAGACATACAGAAAATTGTCTTATTAAGTACAGCACACACACTAAGGAGAACTTTGTCTATGTAACGCTAGCAACTTCATCGGAGATAAAAAAAAAAAAAAAAAAAAATTAACATGAAATGTGGCCATAACAACACACCACGACCTGCCTTAGGTCTTTCCGCAGACTTGGTAGGTAGTGTGTCCATAGAAGAAATAATAATAATAATAATAATAATAATAATAATAATAATTATTATTATTATTATTATTATTATTATTATTATTATTATTATTATTATTTCGACTATGGTCACCCTACCTACCAAGTCTGCGGGGAGACCTAAGGCCTGTAGTACCGTGTTGTTATGGCTACATTAAATGATTTGTTTATCCAACTTCCATAACATCACTAGTTACATGGACAAAGTTATTCCTAGTGTGTGGGCTGTACTTATCAAGACAATTTTTTTTGTATTTCTCTTAAGCTGGGGTTTCTTCGGATTTTCTAAATGTGTTGTTGTGTTCCTTTATTTATCATTCCAACCTTGCCTACTATGACAGTTTCTATTCTTGTTTTCAATTTCCACATAATTTTCTCTTTCGATAAATACCGGGAAATCGAAATAAGTAAATATTATTATTATTATTATTATTATCTGTGATTTCTAGTGTATACTCATTTCTTTCCTCTACCTCATGCGGACCTAAGGTCAGAAACGGCATCATAATATTTTCCACTGAGCATTTTTGAAATAAAAATGACAATATAAAAAGAAAAACATTAAATCACACATATTTTACATAGATAAAGGTCTGGGCTGTATGTGTTCGAAATTTTATTTGTATTTCTTTAAGGCTTGGGCTGCCAGGAATCCCATCAATAAGTCTGTTGGAATTTTTTCCAATCAATCTGAGGGAAACTGTTGATTTCCTCATGTGTCACATTTTCGGGATTTCGATTTCATGTATTTTGATAGGTTTTTAGATATCTTCAAAGACACATTGCAGTCTGCAGGGACCGCCATGTCAATAAGAAGATACATTTTGTTTCTGCTGACTCTGATCACGATATCAGGGCAATTATTTTTGATTGTTTTGTCTGTGTGTATTGTAAAGTCCCATAAAAATGTTACAGGCCCTATCACTATATCCGGGTGTGGGTGGTGTTCTTATTGATTTCTTGCAGTTTCCTTTCCGCAAAAGTTGCATATTTTCCGTTTCAGATATTGGTCCACTCTGGCATGCTAAGTTTTATAATACAGTTGGTGCAAATACCGTGAAGCCTGATAAAAAGATTTTCAATTTCATCTAGATACTTATAGAATCTGCATTTTGGGCTAATATTTTTCAATATATGTGCTTGGTAATTTCTTGATAGCAAACGTTGGTCGTATGAAGCAAGAATAAATCCTTCGGTTTCAGCTTTTAACCCCATGTTACATAGCCACTTATACGGCGTTTCTCTACATCAGATAGTTTGGTACAGGCAGAGTATTAACCGTAAAGCGGTTATCTTTCCATCATTTCCGTGTCTGGTCAGTTATATTTTCATTTACTTTTTTTATGTAA